CTGTCTTTTGCCATCCAAGCAAACCAGTTACCATCCCCTGTGTGTGCAGGAAAGGAGTTATAGTCTCTCAGGCCAAGAGCTGTCTCATCAGCAACAGACCCCTGGCAAAGGGCTGTCAGGGACAGCGGTGCATTTGTGAGTGTCCTGCCCTGCTTGGATCCTGAGGATTTACTGTGCTTACAGACATCTTTATGGATGTCCCCTTCATTTCTGTTTCCTACCTCAGTATATTATCCTTGTTGTCACACAAAACGAGACAAGCTATTAGTACCACAACTGAACTGTAAACTGTATCTTGTTTATATACGTATATGTACAACTAGCAGCACCACAGCCCTCAATTTTTAATTTATTTTATTTTTCTGATTTTTCTCTTCTCCAGTCCTTAAAGAAAGGGTTTCTTCTTCAGGAATTTAAGAGGTGAGTCTCAAAATTCAATCACGTTGATTAATTTTAGCATGCCATGTTTGCACATTATTTCATCTTCCTTTGGTTTTTAAGATAGAAGACGAGGAATTGCTTTAATAACAGAGATGTCCTTGGCTCTGGGATAGCCCTTACCACAACAAGGTATTCCCTACTGGAAGGGAAGGAATTACCTTCCTTGTTGTAGGTGCTCTGGGGCAGGGAGAGAGCTGGAACAATTGTGTGGTCTAAAAGTCACAAGGCAATAATGATAAAAAAAAAAGAGGGCATGAGGTTTTCATTTTTCATGTCATTAGTTGTGAAGATGAATGGTTAGCAGTACTTGAGGCTCGGGCACACTCAGTTTGCAGGCACATGGCAGTAGGAGACTGCTCAGGAAGGCAGTCCTGCTGGGAGGTGGGACGGTGACTCCATGACCTTGCACCCAGCCTCATGGATCCTGCAGGTGTTCACAGCCCGGCAGACTGGCCCTGCTCTCTCCACAGCAGAAGCTTTCAAGCATTATGGAGCATGTGATGCCACATAGGAGGGACAGCAAAATCATAAGCTTACCAACTTGATTGTGTAGGTGAACCCTGGTTTTACCTGTCCCATTCCACAAGATACTGCATCAGTCATATAAAGACCTCTACTGTTACTGCAGTTACAACAGCAACCTTAAAATAAGACTAAATAAAGCCATGTCCCTGTGATCTGGTTTAAATTTGGATTATTACTTCCTGCTGAAGTGTTTAATGCAAGGGTGGTGGCATTCCCTGTGGCATCCTGACACAGAGTGACTCCAATGAGATTGTTGCCCAGCTCAGTCGTGTTATAATGTTTCTGATTCTTTTAGACCAATTGAAAACATTAAATACTGAAGACACAGTCCATCCATAATCCTGTCCAGTCATAATCCAGTCCAACCATAGTGAAAGTCAGCCAGCTCATAAAATTGCGGTTCAGAGGTCAGAAAGACTCACCAGAAATAAATTAGGGATATGAGAAGAGCAAGGTAGAAGAGGAGAAGGAAAGTGCAAGAATGCACTTGCAAAGTGCAAGAATGTTTTCTATCAGGCCTTCAAGTGGGGCAAGCATGCTGTGGTACCAGCGGGAGGGCCTCTGCAGAGCAATGAGTCCAAGCCCTGCTCTGTCACTGTCACCCTCAGCAGGTCACCCAGAACTGTGTCCAGTTGGGTTCTGAGGCTCTCCGAGGATGGAGACTCCACAATCTGCTCCAGTGTTCAACCACCCTTACAGTAAGAAGAATCTTTTCCTTTGTTTAAACATAATTTCCTGTGTTTCACTTTGTGCCCAGTGCCTGTGATCCTGTCACTGGGCACCATGGAAAAGAGCCTGGCTCCGTTCTCATTACTCCCTCCTCATCAAGTAGTTAACCACTTTGGTAAGATCCTTCTGCACCCTCTCTTTTCCAGGCTGAACAGTCCCACCTCTCCACCTCTCCTTGTGTGCTGGATGCTCCAGTCCCTTCATCACTCTTGTGGCCCTCACTGGAGTTGCTGCAGTATGTCCACATCCTCCTTGTACTGGGGAGATTCTCACCTTCCAAGTTCTGTAACAGCAACATGGCTTTTGCCTACAATTCCTCTATGTGCTGTCAAATAATAAAATAGCTGTTGCTCAGCAGAGTAATTTTTGAAAGAAATGATTTCACAGGCAAGGCCATTTTAGTCTTAAATTTAAGTTTTGCATGGGAATGGAAAGGTGTCTGTGTAATGGCCACACTAGGATATGCAGGCTCATGTAGATACTTCATGGTTTTGTGGAATGCACATCTGTACACAAATAGCCAAAGAACTAATAATGTGTGCAAGGGAATGGAGGCCATTTGGAAACCTGTATAATTTTGACGGAGTATGGAACAGAGGATATTTTTTTGCTGTCCATGTGCTTCATCATACTAGCCCATTTTAGTTATTCTTGAATAGACTTTGAACTTCACAAATGTACTTGATATTCAAATTATTTTGCCAGTGGTTAAGTAAATACATTTCCTTTTAGAATTTGCTTATGTTCCCCAAGATAATCCATTGTTCATGCTGCAGGAAAAGTCACCTGGCTCATACAATGTCACTTTTGCTTTTGGAATATCTAACTGCTAATTCATTCATGCATTTCAGTTTGACCAAGCAGATGTTTCCCAAAAGCCATATGATCAAGGTCTGTCTCCAGAAGTATATTTTTGATGCTTTTCCGATGGATGCATTAGCAAAAAGTTAGTAGAAACATTAGTTGAAACTGAGCAAAATGTTTAGTGTGTCATCTAAGCATCAAAAGGTGGAAATGGGATATGATCTATTATATACCTGTCAAAGCTGTAAGAGCTCTCTTATTGCAAACAAAAAGCATTAGTGACTGTGTGGTGACTCTGAGCTCAGACCTACCAGAGCAGTCCCAGAGCTCTGGCACAGCTGCATTGCCTGTTGAACAGCACCACAGTTCTTTCACCTGGCTCACCAACCTGGTCAAAGTCAGTCTTTTCAGTGGCCATGTATAATAACACAGTTATAGTGACATCCATATTTATTCCAACTTTTTTTTTTCAATATTTTTTTCAATACTTTTTTTTTTTCAATATTTTTTTCAATACATGTCTGTACCCAGTAAGACTATTAAAATTTAAAAACTAACCTCAAGGCATTTATGAATGTACAGGTACAAAGGAGAAAGTTTACTCCTGAAAAGAATTACTGTTACAATACAGAAGAGTGGCACTGAAATGTAGTCATCTCCAAAAGAAAAAGGATCATGATTCTCTGTGGTCAGGGTAAGCAAAAAGGAAAGGACTGGGTCCCACTTCATTATATGACCTGGAATCAGCAATCCAATGTCTTTATGGGAAAAGGTGTCCTGGCAAGTCTCTTCTGTGGAAATCTGTAAATGTCTCCATTTTCACCTTTGTGATAGAAAGAAAAATTGACCTGACTTCAGTTTTCCTCTTCTTTAAAATGAGGATATGGTTGCTCTATGTCAGTTAAAGACTTGCTCTTTTCCAAATGTATTTGGGATATTAAAAGCCTAGTACAAAAATGTTGATTTTAGATTTGTATATTCATCTAGCACCCAGTACAGAGTGATGCAGGTGTGTCACTGCGAGCCTGAGGTGCCACACCACACAAATAATAATCACTCACTGGAGTACTGCTAATATTGTTTGCACAATTTAAATAAACTGTACTGAATGAACAGCTCCTTGGTAGACCCACTTATTTTGGAGGTTGTTCTTTTTTCTTTTGCAATTATATCACCATGGTTTAAATAACTAAACATTTCAAAATGTAGGCCAGGTTTCAGAGGTGTTGCAAATTTAAGTGAAGTTTAATGGGTACTTTGATGAAGTTAAATGATAAGCAGTTACTATTGTGAATGAAACAAGAATATTTCCTCATATTTGCCTTACTATAGTATCTAAACAAAGATTCAGTAATATATGGTGGGGACCAAATTCTTCTGGAAGAAACCAATGGGGTTCCTTCCTCATTTTTCAGTCTGTCACACTTCTACTGAGCTGGATGAGGAATCTACCAATGCCCTTGTGTCATTTTGAACTTTGCAGCTCCCACTGGCACCGCTTTACATAGCACAAAGCAATTTGTTTTCATTAAAAAGAACATTAAGGTGATGTAGCTGAAATTGTTCTATGCCCTAAATCTGTATAATTTGTTGCTCTTGAGCAATTCGACTCAGCTTCCATTAGCACAGACTGACATCAACAAACCATTTCATCTTCCAGGCCTGTCACATCAAGTATTTTTTACAGCACTGTTATAACTTCATTTCAGAAAGTGACTGTGACAAAGAAGGGGCTGCATTAGATTCAGTGTCAATAGCAATCTAATTTGCTTCTCAGAAACTTCATTAGCCAAAAATAAATTAGAAAGTGACATGTGTACAGCATAAGCAGTTCAAAACCATTGAGAAATTAAGTCCTTTGACAAAGCAGTGCATGCCTCAGCAGAAGCATCCTTGGCCACAACAATTCCTTACAGTGGCATGACTATTGCTGGTTCCATTCTCTGTCTGCTCTTATCAGCTGCCAGGAAAAGATTTGTTTTCAGACTGATGTTTTCTAGAGTTGCTTGTGTTCCTGTCAAGGTGCCTGCTTTTCAAGTGATTGGGCATACTTGGGTTTCAAATAACAGGAGGTTAAAATCCAAGGAAAGCAACATCATGGAATAAGAGGGGTGCAGGCTTTGGTGGGGAGCTTTGGTGGGGAAAAGCCTCAGCACCCAGCAAAGTGCAAGGGCTGCTGGTGAGTCTGGAGGTATTGGGAAGGGGCAAGACAAATGTATTCAGTTTCTCTATGCTTTGCTTCATATAGTTCATTACTTCTATTGCCTTTCTGTCTGCTAAAATCCTTTGAAGGTTTTAACCCCGTTGAATGCTCGTGGTGCATTGAGTTGGATGCTCCAGAGTTACGTCTAAGGTGCAGCTCTTTTTAGGGCTGGCCTGCCTTGCTTGGATCAGGCCAGCTTTGAATTTTGCTTCCTTTAAATGCCTTGCTTTTTAAAAGTCTCAGTTTGCTTTGTGTTCCAGATCTTTCTATCCTCCCCAACAGTTGCTACCAACAGTGATTTTGTGTCTTACGGATTTTTATCCATAAAAATTTTGGAGAGGTATCAGGCTCCTGCTGATCTTCAAAAGATGTCATAGATAATAAACCTGTTTGATGAAGAAAATGCTTTTTTGATCTGTTTATTATTCACTTCTTTATCCACATAATGCTTTATTAATATTGTATATTGACAATTTCTAATCAGAATGCCAATATTGTGCTCAGAAAGAACCTTGCAAAAATCTATTATGTCTTTGCAGTTATAAATCAAACACTTAATCTCTTCAAAGAATTAAATATTCTCTTTGGCAGGTCTTATCTTCCATAATTTTATTTCTACTCTTGTCCTTCAGCAGCTTTTTTGCTTTTTTTGTCTAATTACCCCATCTCATTGTCCTTCAGTTTTTCAGTGATGCTAACCTGCTATTTTTGAGTTTGCTACTATAACAGCCCTCTCCTAGACTTCACAACCTGCTCAGGACAATGAGGTTTATCCAACAGTTAATACTAGCAAAGTGGACATCCTGTCTTTTTTTTGTCACCTGTCCTGCCAACTATGACCTTTTCTTTTAGGTATTTAGTTTTCTTATAAATTTCCTACATTTTATAATATTAGATTTTGATGCCAGAAAAGGCATAAGATAGGACAAGATAAATATATAATTGATGTCTTCCTTACATTGTTCACTGACATTTAAAGGGCATTTTGGCTGTGCCCTTGTAGTGACGCAGTGTTGGCAGTGTTGGCGCCCATGGGACATCATCCTTGGGGACTGTGCACAACCCCACACCAGCACTGGTTTTACCATCAGTGGAGTCCATCCAAATCAGTATTTCTCAAACTTGTTGAAAGTACATCCTCATTTTGGCTCCTTCATCTAGCTAGGACTCCTGTGAGCACAGCTCCCCCCCAGATTAACAGCCAAACTCAACATTTCTGCTCAGAGCTGTACTTATCTGATCAATTTAAAGTTAATAACCTCACTTAATGCATGGCTTGCTTTCACACACTGCAGATGGTCCAAAACCATGTCCAACACCTGCTCACTCATTCTCAGATGAGGCAGCAGTAATTCAGAGTAGGAAATATCTCTCATTTCTTATGAAGTGTTTGTACTGCCAACTACCTTCAACTGCAGCACATGCTCAGCACACCCATGGTGAGGATGAAGTGTTTGAACCTTCAGAACGTAAAGGCTACCTGTCTTTTCCCAGACCTTGAGAGGTCCAAGCAATTCCCTTTCCTCTGCAGAGATTTGTGTTGTGCACCCTGCAGAGGAACCCTGGCAAGTGGAAGGGTTGGCTGAGACCCATCCTAGGAACTGTGGCTCATAGGTCACTTTTGCACCAATCTAGGCATTGTGACATAAAGGAAGACTATAAAAAGGTCCTGCACATCAGCCCTCAGTAGAGATTTTGCTGGTTATCCCTAAGTGCACAGAGGCTGGCATGTGGCAATTGGCCAAGAGTGAGAAGGAATACACAGCACAAAGCTGCAAAGTTCTTTATGAGTTCAAGTACAAGCTCAAGCATCAAAAAAACCTGTTTCCCCCCCAACATGTAACAAACAAATCCTGTCTTGTTATTATCTTCACAATTAATAATCTATATTCTTTTTTGTATTATTTTGTTCACTTAATCCTCCACTGCATTAAGCACACTACAAACACAACATACTAGCAACTTTTCTATTAAGATCCCTTCCAACCAGAAAGCATTAGGACCAACTCTGTACTGCTGAGAGTGGATGATTGGACGGTCAGCAGGTTGTCTCTGCCCATGTCCAGAAAGAGAGATAAACACTGTGCAAGCCATAGGATAGTGTGGATCAAAAGATGTCAAGACAAGCAAGAAGATCATAGTTTTTCACTGTTGCCAAAGAAATCCTCTGTTTCAAGAAGCATCTGTTCTTTCTGTGACGTGGATTAGCACACCCTGGTGTCATTTGTTCCCCTGTGAGCTTGACTTACATTTCTACTAGGTTTCGCTGTCTCATCCTCACACCTCTGATGGGACTGCAGAACGATACTTAGAACTATGAGGAAGTTAAGGCACACAAAAAATACGATGACTGACAGTGAATGCTTATACACAGGCACCAAAGTGTGAAAGCTGTAGGAGAACTTCCCCACAAGGCTTTGCCAAGGAACTCCTGAGTCAAGTAGATATCTTTGTACTTCATAATATTTGATATGTTCTTTCTTCCATCAACAATTTTCCATTCACTATTTGAACACATACAGTTGTGACATCCACCATTATGATGTCTCAGTGAGTTCCCGACTTTGACAACACACTATGTACACCTCTTGTTTCCGAATCTGCCACTAGAAAATTTTTGCTGAGGTCCCCTAGCTTTTTTTTAATTTATTATGAGAAGTTGAATCATTATCCCCTATTAACTTTCCCTATGTGCCTCGCAGTTTTATAAACCCTAGCATATATTCCTCATGGTCCTCTATTCCTTAGGCTGAAGATTCCTTATCTCTGTCAGGAATAGGAAATCACCCTTGCTTCACATCTTTGTGCTTTTTCTACTACTGTTGTGTTGCTTTGGGAAGAGATGCCAATGCCACTGTAGAGATATATGGTAAGATACAGGCATACAATCATTGCAATATTTTCTTGGGTTTTTTTCTCAAATTCTTTCCTATCACTTCCTAATACTGATATTAAAATTAGCCTTTTCAAACTAGTCCTGAGCTTTGAGTAGACAGTTCAACAAACCTCTCTAAGATTGCTTTCCCGAGAGGTAGCAACCCAGTCAGAGCCCTTCACTGTGTGTATGGAGTTAAAGTTGTCTTTCCAGTATACATTATTCCACATTTATCAATATTGCATTTCTTCTCACTTTTTATCATCCAGCCCCTTATTGCAAGATTGTACTACAACTCTGTACAGTCAGCTTTCAGTTTTATTGCTCTGAATCAGTTCATATCAGCAACAATCTCTGTTCCTCACTCCTTCATACCGTTTATGAAGATGTCGTCATATGATCCCTATGATTTGCATGAAGCAAACCCTGGAAGTCCTGTGTCCAAGAACCTTCTGCCTATTCCTACCTTCTTTTTTCTGTCTTTTAATGGTTATTTGCTCATGCAAGGCCCTTCCTTCTTGTGAGGTTTAGGAGGAGACAAGCTTGCAGACTTACCTAGAGTTAGTGAGCATAAGACAAAATGCACTTTGCTCTCCACAGGAGAACACAAATAGTCAGCTACACGGGACGATACTTGTGCCTTACACTGGCCATGATTCCTGCAGCAGAACATCACCACGGGATGAAACAGCAAAGTGTACAAAAGATTTGTTATTTAACTGTTTGAACAAAAAGGGATGACCATGAGCTGTTTGTACCTGCCTGCTTGGACTCTTCTGGTTCCATTCTTGAAAATCTGTCCTAATCTAAGAGCACCTGGCAGAAGAAGATGTGAATGTACATTAAACTCTTGCAGGCTGATTCCTAAGTGTGTGTTTGACCAACAAAGGGCCAGATTCCTGGGAAATCACTGGGACGCTGCTGTTCCCAGTGCTGGCGGTGCTGCACAGCACACATCTTTTGCAAGGAGAAGGGAAAATTTTCATCAGGAGAGCTTGAAGATGTTGCTGGTTTATGAGCCTGCTGTGGGGAGCTTGGAGGCACTTCCAGAAGAGCAAAGGAAAGAGGCAGTGCCACCTGCACACATGCCTTGCAGACATGAGCCAGCAATGATGTGAGGCAACACCAACTCACAGCTGCAGAAGCACTTCTCACCAAGTTTTCACTGTGTTTCACTTTGGAGCCAAAACTGGGGAGGTCAAGTCCTTTAATTTTTTTCTTGATGTGTCTAATTTTCTCTACACAGTCTGATGCACACTGTAGTGCCTTTATGCCCTCTTGAGAATGTGGACAAGCTCATGCAAACACCACTTCTTAATAAACATAATACCTCACCTTCAGTGAATACTGAATAGTTCAGAGGTCTTTGAATAGGTAATTCTGTTACCTGGTGGTGGTAATGAATCATACTTGCATGTGAAATCCTATTTGCCTACACTTTAAGCTCCAGCTAGCATCACATTCTGATATAAGAAATTTGCTAATGAGCAGTAATTCAGAACTGAAGCAATCATTACTAAGAAAAAGTGGTTGTGATATTCTTCCTGTAAAGATAATAATATTATTTTAAAGAACATCATAATGCAATGAATACCAATCATTGCATCTGGTGATAATCTGTAGAACTTTTGTTCCTATAATGAGTCTTGGGTTATTGCATAGGTATCCTGAGGCTGCTACAGGTAACATAATGCTTCTGCTCTGTGAGTCTGAGCTGATGGCTTGTGCAGCTGTGTGTCTCTTTCTGCTCCAGAGCTAGTCTGTGGATGCACAGCTGGAGCCAAGCACAGCCAAAGCTACAGGAGATGCTACAGAAATCAGAATCACCATCACTTTTCTTTTATAGACCTGCTCAAAGGAGTTTGCAATTACAAACTCCTAACCAGCATGTCTCACAAAGAAGTTCATCAGAAAAAGAAGGATTTCAGTTTTTATTATTCTCTGTAGTGAAATGAGAGGTTGAGGTGATGAGGTTGGATGATACCCAGTCCCCATTTGGAAAATTCTTCCTGTAACCTTGGGGAATAGAAAATTCACTCATTAAAAAAAAAGAAAAATGTAAAGCATAAATGCTGCCCAACCCGAACAGGACACAGGTGAGCTTTGCAGGCATTGTGGATCCACACCCCACTGTTCAGTGGGTCTGGTGTTTACAAATGCAAACAGTGAAGGTGTTCTCTGAGGTGAACCTGGTTTCCTGAAGCCTGGTGAGACAGCCCGGTGCATCCCTCATGGGCATAGAGCATAGCTTCATGGGCACACTGGATTTTAGAGAACATCAAACATCACTACTGGGCCACAACTCCCTACACCCGTGATATTTAACCCTCAATTTTCCTTCCCTCTTCTTCACAAGATCCCAGGTTCCCCTTCATTCCTCACATCTGCCATCTGTTATACCTTAAGACTCCTACAATGCAACAGCTTCCACATCTCTTACTTAACCCTGAACTTGTATCCACAGAGCCATCCATGTCCCCGGCCCCCCATCACTACAATAGCCACACCCTCCATCACTCTCCAGCCCAGAAAACATCCAGATTCCCACTGGTCTGCTCCTTGGGCTGGGCAAAACTAGAGGGAGGCAACCTGGCTGCTAGCCAGAAGTACATGTGTGCCACTTGGCCAGCCAAATGGTGCGTGTGTTGTCCCTGGCCAACAGCCTGACTCCGGGCCCCACAGCCTGATGGGCCACTTGGCTGCTCCTTGTGGCCTCTGGAGAGACCATGTGGCTCCCATTCCCCCTCAGCAGCTGCGGGATGAAGCAAGTCACCTCATGGACCATATGTTGCACAGATTTTGTCCTACTTTCTCTCTCTGGTGCTGCATGGTTACTGTCCAGGAGAGGACTGGGCATGGTCAGGAATTTGTTTTGGACACTGGTAATTCTTCTGTCAGGGGTAGGAAAGAAATTGATTTCTAAGAGTTCCTGGGGATATATTACCTTGAAGGGGAGATGCAAAGAAATGAAAGTAGTTTCATAATATAATGCTGACAAATTCAAAAGCTTTCCAGCAGAAGATAACCCTGCTGAGACAGTATGAACTTATGCTTCTCCCCACTCCCAGCTTATTGTATGTAAGAGTTCCAAAAAATTAGGTATTTTTTTCTGATCCTGTTAATGTAGCCTACTAATTCTGCATATGATACCAAGACTAAAATAAACCTGAATTTTAGTGGGGAAATGCACCAAGGCATAGATGATCTTTCATTAACAAAGCATCTTATTTTCAGGTAAATATCTGCAGTAATACAAGAGAAGGGAACTGATCCATGAGTAGACCTGTCTCTGCTTGCTGAAGCCTTTCATAAGACAGTAATAGCTCCTTAACGTGGAGGATTTGGAAACTGCTTTAGAAACAGTGCTTGGCTGATATTGAGCCGATATTTACATCTCTGAAACCAGAGGCCTCAGTGCAAGCTCTGACAGACAGGCAGGACCCATGGGCTCTGACTTGGGCTTCGGAAGATGTGCTCTGCTGTCAGGTGAGTGCAGTGATCTTTGACCAAGCTAAAAAGCAGGAACATAGGGAAATAAAAACGTTTCATTTCAGTGTTGAAGCGGAGTTAGTGTGAAAGCCGAACCTGCAGTTCAAACCCTCCAAAGGATA